AAAATTAAACTCTTCATATATATTAACTTTTAAAAATAGCATATTTATTTATTTATTTGAATTGATATTACTATAAATGATGTAATATAAATCAAATGTAAATTTCAATTAATTTACTCTCTTCTGATTTCGCAAAGTGTACTAGTTATTAACAAGGTGATAAGGTTTTTCTTACAGATAGTAGTGGGCGCTGCAATCACTGCGATAAATCGAATATAGTGGCAAATTAAATTCCTATATCAACACTAACCAACCCTGCATTTATACAATATAACACGGATAAATGACGTCAATCATGTTCAGTCATCTCATAAGGCATTATAAACCTAATGTCATATTATATCAGTTCTACTTTCTCAATACATCTGGGTAAATACCTATTATACTACAAATTCAGTGGCGAATGATGATAAATAAAATGCTCTTGAGTTGAAGAAAAAAATATATTGGGATTTACTTATAATTCGACATTAAACTTAATTAGAATTTAAAGTTAATTTACATTTAAAAAAAGTACTTAAATATACATAAAAAGTATGTTTTTATTTTTAACTTTAGCAACATTTTACTGTGGCAAACAGAATTAGCAGCACTTGCTTTAGAACTAAACTTAGCATAACGCCTATTGTTTTACTATTACTTATTATTAAAAAAAAAACTGTTCAATAAAAATTGCTGAGACTTGTAGAGACGAAAGGACGTGATATTTTATAACCTATTTACACAACTATTTTTATACAGAAAAGAGGCCCCATACAGTCATACATTATAGCATTTAAAACAGTCTCATGGTTTGGAAAAATAATGTTACCATTACTATTTGAAATCTGTTTTACAGTATGATGGCGCCATGTGTCTTAACGAAAGCCACCCACAAAATTTGTATCAGTAAAAAATAATAAATTCTAATTTTATTTCTCACAAAAAATAGATTTATCACTGGTAAGAACAATAAATTTAAAACTCCCATTTTTTTGTTTATTTTTGAGTTAAGAAAATCATGAATGTGATATATTAGCATACATTTCAAAACATTTCTATGTGAAATGTTTCTTTTAAAATAAATGACTTATTTTAAATATTTAAAATTATTTCAATGACATAGCATTTCAGTATATAATTTGAATATCATTAAAACTACTCAAATACAAATATTACAATAGCATAATATTTTAATTAAAATTTTTCAATTTAATCTGGATATTTGTTGTCTCTCCTCTTTCACATAGTAATAACGAAACTAAAAATATTTTATAAATAATTTGACAACTTTTGCATATGAAAATTTAAAAAAAGTGATTTATTGGATTCAGTGGTGTTGAATTGGAAGTTTTAACTGTGGCCTTGATCTGAAAAGATTTTACAATCGAATGCATACTGTAAGGACATTCATCACAATCTCTTCCTATTGTCTGTCCAAATAATTATGAAACTTTCTAAAAATATTCCCATACATTAATTTAAAAAAATGAATAACTGTACAAGCCCTGCTGTGTGTCCCGAATGAATATACATTTGTAGAAAAGAGAGGAAAATTATTATGCAAAATAAATAGAGTCGATTATTTTTCTCCAGAAATACTGAAAGAGATTCGGTTTGGTGGAGAATATAATTATTTCACCTCAATAAATTCTTGGAAACAAAATTTGTGAAAGTTTTTTTAAATATTCGTGCGTTTTAGAAAATGCAATTTTCCTTTGTTGAATGAAAGGAATCCATACTTAATCTTTTCCGATAGGAGTGAGACACCAGAAAATATTTTGATGTTAAATAAAAATAGTAAATAAAATATATTTTAGAAAATATATTTTAGAAAATCAAAGATAAAATTTAGTAATTTTTATTTTATAAACTATTTTAATTTTAATATTATAAGTAATTAAACATTATTAATCATTATTAAATTAAAAAACATGATTAGTAATAAAATATTATTAAACATTATTAGTTAAACATTAATATTTAAACATTATTAAATTAACTATAGTAGTTAAACAATATTAAACATTATTAGTTAATTATTTTAAACATTAAAACAGTTAAATATTATTATTGAAAAAATTAAGTTAATAATTGAAAGTGATAAAATCAAATAGGTTTATTGTGAAAATCTTAATTAATACAAACAAAATTATAGAATTGAAGTGCTTAATTATTAAATATTGAAGCAGAATGAGTTTTTTCATAGATGATTAATTATTTTGTATTTTATGATTCTTAAATCAAAATAATTAGAATAACTTTTATTAATATTTTTTAAATAATATAATTCTATAACTTCATAATAATTAAGTAACATAACTTCATAAGTTATAGATCTTCATCAAATCTTTTATACAATTATTTAGAATTAAAATTAGTAAATATTAATAGTTTTAACTGTGGTCTTGGATCTGAAAAGATTTTGCAATCGAATGCATACTGCAAGACATTCATCACAGTCTCCTCTCCATTGTATGTGATAATAATTATGAAACTTTCCAAAAATATTCCCATACATTAATTTAAAAATGAATAACTAATCAAGCTCTGCTGTGTGTCCCGAATGAGTATACATTTGTAGAAAAGAGGGGAAAATTATTATGCAAAATAAATAGAGTTGATTATTTTTCTCCAGAAAACTGAATGGGATTCAGTTTGTTGGAGAATATAATTATTTCACCTCAATAAATTCTTAGAAACAAAATTTGTGAAAGTTTTAAATATTCGTGCGTTTTGGAAAATGCAATTTTCCTTTGTTGAAAGAAAGGAATCCATACTTAATCTTTTCCGATAGAAGTGAGACACCAGAAAATATTTTGATGTTAAAAATAAAAAAAATATATAGTAAATAAAATATACTTTATAGTAAATAAAATATATTTTGATAGTAATAAAATATATTTTAAAAAATCATGAGTAGTAATAAAATATTGTTAACATTATTACTTAAACATTAATTTTTTAAACATTATTAAATTAACTATAGTAGTTAAACCATATTAAATATTATTAGTTATTGTTTTAAATGGTAAAAGTAGTTAAATATTATTATTGAAAAAGTTAAGTTAATAATTGAAAGTGATAAAATCAAATAGGTTTATTGTGAAAATCTTAATTAATACAAACAAAATTATAGAATTGAGTGCTTAATTATTAAATATTGAAGCAGAATGAGTTTTCATAGATGATTAATTATTTTTGTATTTTATGATTCTTAAATCAAAATAATAATTAAAATAACTTTTATTAATATTTTTTAGTGTATAATTCTATAACTTCATAATAATTATTAACATAAAAATCATTTGTGAAAATATATAAGTTAATACAAAAAATTACAGAATTGAGAAGTACTTAGGTACTTAATTATTAAAAATTGAAGGAAAAATGATTTTTTAAATGATGATTAAATACTTTTGTATTTTATAAGTCTTAAATCAAGATTACTAACATAATTCCATAATTTATTAATATTTTTAATTAACATAATTTCATAAAGTTATAAGTCTGCATAAAATATTTTTATCTAATTATTTAAATTAAAATAAGTAAATATTGCGAAAAATTAACGAACCAAAAATAGATAAAACTAATTAATTATATATAGTTATAATTAATTATATATCACTATAAATTCAGTAATTGATTGAGGAATATTAATGTTATAAATAATCAAAAACATTATTAAGTATTAACATTATTGGTATTTAACATTTCTAGTAGACACTATTATTTTTAAAAAGTTAATTTAATAAGTAAATGTGATAAAAAATCAAATAGATTTATTGAAAAAATATAAATTAATGCAAAAAGTTATAGAATTGAAGCATTAAATTATTAAATATTGTGTGAAGCAGAAAGAGAATTTTTCATTAACAGTTAAATATTTTTGTATTTTATGTGTCTTAAATCAAATTAATTAACATGTAATTTCATAATATATATTAATATTTTTTTTTTAATTAACATTATTTCATAACTTCATAATAATTAACTAACTAACATTATTTCATAACTTCATAATAATTAACTAACTAACATTACTTCATAAGTCATAAGTCTTCATAAAATTTCAATTATTTAAATTAAAATTAATAAATGTTTCGGAATTAACAAGCTAAAAAAAAGGAACTAATTAATCATATATAGTATAATAATATAAATTCACTAATTGATTGTAGAATATTAATGGTAACCAAAAATTAATTATGCATTTCGTCACATTAACAAATTAACGTCTTTTTGGATTTCAACTCAAGTAATATTAATAATGTTGCTCTGTCTGACTATATAAATAATTTATGGTAATTAAATATATCTTCAACATTTTTATCGTGCAATAGAGCACCTCCTTGACGTAGTCGTGGTATATATTAAACGTTTGATTTCGATGGTCACTGAATAACTGAATAATAATTCGCTTCCTTTTTTTCCGTCTTCAAATCGATAAGACCAGCAAAAGTTAACCAATATTTTACTATAAAAAAAATAATTTGATAACCAATATTTTTAATAAAAATGAAATTCAGAAAACATGTGCATGATAGATTTTATTTTATAAAAATATTATTTTTAAACCACAATAATTATTAGAATTATTTCAAAATTTTTACATATTAAAAACAAAATATAACAATTTTATACATATACCCAGAAACAATTTAAATGGACTTCCAAATCTCTACTTGAAGGTCAAAAAGGTTTCAATACGTTTTTGTTTTTAAATGCTTATTTGTTGTTATTTGAACTTATCCCACTTGGCTGGCCAAACCCACGAGCCATACGTACTCATGATTGAAGGGAAAGGAAGCAGCTTTTGTTGTGATGGAGCACCCTTAGGTAGAACTCTGACTTTGGCTCCGCGGACGCTCTTACAGTCATAGGAGACCGGGACCTACGGCTTAAAGTGGATTCCGAACCACTACAAACACCCATGGCACCGGGATTCGGAACCAAAACCTGTGGCACCGAGCGCCAGAGCACTAGACACTCGGCCATTCAGGTCCGGAATTTTGTGAAGGTGGTCACCCACCCAAGTACTGACCGCGCCCAATGATGCTTGAATTCGGTGATCTAACGAGAACTGGTATATTCAGCATGAGCCGTTGGCCGTTTTTTAAATCTTAAAAGTAATGAAGTATATCGTTGGCCTTTAGCTGTATAAATCGCTTATTTAATCATTTAAAAACTAAACAACAAGAAATCTTTTCTCCAATGGCGAGACAGCCCCTATAAAGGTAGATCAAGGCCTTACCAGATTCCAAAACATGATTTTTTTTTACGGGGTTCGGTTGTCAACCCTACTCAATGCCCCCACAGTCATATTAGACTAAGACATAAGGTTTAAAGCGCATTTTGGGTTACTATACATACATCCACGGACTCAAACCCATGGATGTTTATCACTGGGGTACCGAGCGCCAGAGCCTAATCACTGAGAGTAAAATTCACTTAACTAATAAACTCATAATTTTAGATGAGTTAACAAAAATAAATAAATAAATAAATAACGCTTGTAAATAACGCTTAGAATTTTATTTTACTAACAAAGAATTGTCATATCTAATTGCAAATGCATATTTTAAGTTTAAATTAAAGTTCTCAAAAATAGGTAAGAGTGATTGAAAAAATTGTTATTATTAAAATTACTTAAAATGCTTTTTAAATAAATAGCGTTAACAACATGTGTTTCATTCATTTTAAAGCCAAAAGCAATTAATTATAATTTTTATTCCATTTTAAATATAAGAACTTAAATAAAATGAATTTCGCTTTGATAGAAAAATGTAACATATATAATGAATTAAATCTAATGAAATTAGTAAAATATAGGGTGAGTTGTAAAATAATTCTAAAATTATTTTAAATTAATAGTACCACTTAATAGTAGCACAGCCGTATTAGTATACCATTGTATCTACATACAATACATCTACATACAATACATCTTACATACTATTCTATTGATGACTTATTTACTACTTATAATTATAACGTCTTCAAAAATTTAAAAAAATGGAAAAATAGAAACCAATAGAAATTTTAATTTCCTTGATAAAATGTGATCATAGAGTATAGTAAGGTACTTCTTAGTTGTAAAGATTATTTAGAGAAGTATCAACTACAAATTAAGACATGTATATATATATATATATATGTTCATAATTCCATAAATTAAATTTAAGAAGATATCAAATTAATGGAATTCCTTCAAAGAAACAAATTTTAAAATAATCATTATTTCAATATGAAGCAAAAAATACTTGGCCATTTTAATATTTATATTTAGCATTATTTCTTCTAATTGGAGCAAAACAAGATTTTAAAAAGGATTTCCTAGTTTTTGATTTTTCTTGTTTTATGCAAAATGATTTCTGAATTCCTAAAAAAATACTGTTGAAATTATCACTTTATATTTACAAACTCACCAATTTTCAAAATAATATTCTTAATACCAGCATCCATGGATCTCTTTTTATTCTTAGAGACCTTTTCAAAATGAAGAAGCAAAGACAATACGACCATAATATAATAACTCCTTCTAACTTGCAGCAAGACAAATTTTAAAAGATTACCCATTCATTTAACATTACTTCGCCTGCATTTTTATCTCCCCTCGGTTTTTATTTCTCAAACTTGTCACCCTGTTTTGGCAGCTGATAATTATTATGATATTCCGAGGATTGTTTCCTGAACGAAGGTACCTCTTGAAATTGCTGAGAGAGTTTTTTGTTCCCCTTGTTAGGAGACAAATGAGTGATCGCGGGCGATGTCGTTGATGAAACCTTTTAAAATCTCGCAGATTAAACAACGTAAAAATTGTGTTTTTAAATTGTGCATTAGAAAAAGGGCCAAAGAGATTTGCATCACAATGGATATCAAATTTCTCAGCAGCAGATGTTTGTGTTTGGTGATTGGGTAAGAAACAAAAAAAATGGACACTATACTCCTAATTAACGATAAAACCAGATGAATATTTTTAAATAAAATATCAAATGTTATGAGATTTTATATTCGCTGTTATGTCGTCAAAAATTTTTAAATTCAAACTTTTGTCTTTTGTGAATATTAACGTGAAATTAATCTCAAGTTTGTTTTGAAAATCTAATAGACAATTTTTTCTATAACATTTAATATTTCTCCTAATATCCAAATTTAATTTAATATAAACTTTTAATTAATATTTATAAAAAGTTTGTCAGATGGAAAAGTCAGAAAAAATTATCGAATTATCATAGAATTATAATAATTCGATAATTATTATTCTTATTATTATTAATTATAAGAATTATCAGTTATTGGGAAAATGCATAATAAAAAGAAGTTATACCCCAATAATTTATTAAAAAAATATAAAATTATATTTCAAATTAATTTGATCATATAAATCTCACTGTAAGTCTTATTTTTGTGCTACTAAAATTAAACATCTTAATTTGAAGTAGTATTAAACTAGGTCCTTGTTTTTAATATACATTTTTAATTTCAAATATGAACTTGAAATATTGATGTATTTTGCAGAATTTATATCTTACTGAATGCACTTTAAAAAAAAAAAAATTTTTTAGAAGCAGTTTGTTTTCTTTTTTTTCACAATAAATATAAGTCAATTTAAAAGTATATTTATATTTTGTATTTTAATAATAAATTTATCAGTATTTTTATATTTATAGTAAATAAATCATAAAAGTTTTTCTAAAATATTTTTAAAAATTTTTATCATATCTCCCTTTTCAAATTTTAAATATAATAACTTTAGAAGTGTTTCCATTTTCTCTGAATCTAATGTACAAATAAAATTTAACAATTAAATTTTATAGAATAATAAAATCAAATGAAAAATAAATTTAGATTTCAAAGAATAGTTATTTTTAAACCTAATTTTTAAGAATGAATTTTTTTTTTTTTGTACATTGTTTTAAAAGGAAATCTCCTTTTAATTTCTTTTTCTGTCAAAACTTGAGTGATATGTCTTCTGACAATTCTCAGTTTCACTTATAAATTTATTTTCACTAGCAAATATATTTTTAATCTGTTCCTTTTCGTTTTGAATTGTATTCCTTTATTTTTCCCTAAGATTATACTTGAAGCTGAGATGTCATTTTTTATTTTTAAGTTTAAATAAATACAATTATACTACGAGCTATATTAAAAGCATGAACCTGTGCTAGTTAATGTAAATATAATTTTACATGTAAATATATATATATATATATATATATGTAATGTGGACACAAAATAATTGAAAATATAGAATGTTTGAAAATTTATTTGAAATGTTTACTATGTAAAGTGTAACAATGTTTTTTCACTAGATAATTTTAATTAAAATCGGCTAATTTTAATTAATACTTGTTATTTTTCTATTATATGTAGATGAAATTATTTAACGTGCTATAATACTTTTTGAATATATATATATATATGCATATATATATATTTGTGTGTACATACATGTAAGGTGGACATAAAATAATTGAAAATATAGAAAATTTGAGAATTTATTAGAAATATTTACTATGTAATGATTAACAAAGTTTTTTCATTAAATAGTTAATTTTAATTAAAAATGACTAATTTTAATTAATAGATGCTTATTCTCCTGATAACAAAATTAATTTTTCAATTAGTTCTTTATTACAACGAAAACAATATTTTTTATTGCTCAGAAGTTTCGTTATTAATCAATTAATTTCAATTAATTTATCTTATTAGATTCAATTGTTATCGTTAATTCAATTAATTACAACGTTACAACGTTAGTTTGGAAAAATATTAATTTAATTACTCTAATTGAAATACACATAGGACAAATATGTTTTGAACAATGGAAAAAAAAACATTGTTTAATTTCTGTCTAATTAGATTGATGCATAGTGCTTTGGATCATAAGCAATTTAATTCGTAACAATCCAACAAGTCATATAGAACAAAAAATTTCTGCACGTCTAACAGACATAAGCATTATTAATCTGTAAGCTGGAAATGCCCTCTTTTGGACCCGAGGAGCATTTGGCTGCCATTTTCCTTAGAATGTTTGTTCAAAGCTACTGTTGTAAAATTTATCTGCAGTGTTTGCAGACTTCTCCTGGTTACCCTGGGCGCCGGACGGCCGAGTGGCTAGCGCTCTTTCGGGTTCGAGTCCCGACGGTGCCATGGATTTTTGTAGTGGTTCCGAATACGCTTTAAACTGTAGGTCCCGTTCTGTTTAGCCCCCGTGTGCACAAAATGACCGTAGAGTGACAAACCAAACTAAACCTATTTACACTGAGTAATGATTATTCTATTACACATCTACTTCGTGTCAAAATCTCCAGCATTTGAAAGGGCTTTGGTACTGCAGACTTCAAGTTCGAATCCTGGCGGTGGCATGGTTATTTGTTGGTGGTTTGGAATATAAATTAAACAGTAGGTTTTGGTCTATTTAGCCTAAATTGTGCACAAAATAACCGTAGATCTGCAAATGAAACTAAATCAGCGTTTGAAAATAACAATTTAATCTTTAAAAACATGTAGGTGATTTGTTCTACGAACAGTTAAAAAATACTTTTCAAATATTCACTTTTAGAATTTTGTGTGAAAAATAATTTTTAAAAAACTAAAATATATGTGAAATTTTAAAAAATGGAAAATTAAAGTATGTAAAATTAAAATTGTAATACATACATCCTCTACTTATAACAAAATTCTATGTTAAATACTGAATGTTATGAATTTTATAGAAATAAAATTGTTAATATAAAATGAATATAAATAATTTTTTTATCAAGAATTGAATATATGAATAGATAAAAAATCATGCATGAATTTTTCATTAGCAGAAATGCTTTTTTCGAATAAGCAGTTTCCTTTTTCTCTAAATACTTTTTTTCAAAATTCGGAAGCATAAATCTTTCAGATGAAAAACAAAAAGCCATTTTTGAATGAAAACTTGCTCAGCACTTTCACAGTGAGATGGAATTTTATAAAAAAAAAAAAACTTCACATGAATAATTTTCTAATAAAAAACAGTGACTAAAATCCAATTACTCTCATAGGCTAAGCACATGGCAGATGCAAATAATAATGTCTTGATTTTTAGAAAGAAACAAAAGGAAT